CTCAGGGCTTCATCGTGACGTATGAGGAATTTCAGCTATTTTTCGAAGAATGAGCACTTGAATATATTTGGATTGTCATTGTTCGAAGAATTGAGCGTAACTTTTGCACACGGTGTCCGTTTTGGGCCCATAAGTACTTTTCGAAAATGTAGCGACCGTTTTGGATTGAACTTACGGCTTTGTCGTGATGTATGTGGGATTTTGGCTATTTTTCAAAGAACGAGCACTTGAATATATTTGGATTGTCCGCGTTCGAAGAATTGAGCGTAACTTTTGCACACGGTGTCCGTTTTGGGCCCATAAGTACTTTTCGGAAATGTAGCGACCATTTTGGATTGAACTCACGGCTTCGTCGTGAAGTATGAGGGATTTTGGCCATTTTTCGAAGAACAAGCACTTGCATATTTGGATTGTCGGTGTTCGAGGAATTGAGCGAAACTTTTGCACACGGTGTTCGATTTGGGCCGATAAGTATTTTTCAAAAATGTTGCGACCACTTCGGATTGAACTTACGGCTTCGTCGTGACGTATGAGGGATTTCAACCATTTTTCGAAGAACGTGCACTTGCATATTTGGATTGTCAGTGTTCAAAGAATTGAGTGTAACTTTTGCACACGGTGTCCGTTTTGGGCCCGTAAGTACTTTTCGGAATGTAGCGATCGTTTTGGATTGAACTCACGGGTTTGTCTTGACGTATGAGGGATTTCGGCTATTTTTCAAAGAATGAGCACTTGAATATATTTGGATTGTCAGCGTTCGAAGAATTGAGCGTAACTTTTGCACACAGTGTTCGTTTTGGGCCCATAAGTACTTTTCAGAAATGTAGCGATCGTTTTGGATTGAACTCACAGCTTTGTCTTGACGTATGAGGGATTTCGGCTATTTTTCAAAGAATGAGCACTTGAATATATTTGGATTGTCAGCGTTCGAAGAACTGAGCGTAACTTTTGCACACGGTGTCCGTTTTGGGCCCATAAGTACTTTTCGAAAGTGTAGCGGCCGTTTTTGATTGAACTCATGGCTTCATCATGACGTATGAGGAATTTTGGCCTTTTTTCGAAGAATGAGCACTTGCATATTTGGATTGTCGGCGTTCGAAGAATTGAGAGGAACTTTTGCACACGGTGTCCGTTTTGGGCCCATAAGTACTTTTCGAAAATGTAGCGACCATTTTGGATTGAACTCACGGCTTTGTCGTGAGGTCTGAGGGATTTTGGCTGTTTTTCGAAGAACGAGCACTTGAATATAATTGGATTGTCAGCGTTCGAAGAATTGAGCGACCTTTTGCACACAGTGTTCGTTTTGGGCCCATAAGTACTTTTCGGAAATGTAGTGACCGTTTTGGATTGAACTCACGGCTTCGTCGTGACGTATGAGGGATTTTTCCCTTTTTTTGAAGAACGAGCACTTTCATATTTGGATTGTCGGCATTCGAAAAATTGAGAGTAACTTTGGCATACGGTGTCCGTTTTGGGCCCATAAGTACTTTTCGGAAATGTAGCGACCTTTTTAATTGAACTTACGATGTTGTCGTGATGTATGAGGGATTTCAGCTATTTTTTGAAGAGCGAGCACTTGAATATATTTGGATTGTCAACGTTCGAAGAATTGAGCGTAACTTTTGCACACAGTGTCCGGTTTTGGCCCATAAGTACTTTTCAAAAATGTAGCGAACGTTTTGGATTGAAATCACGGCTTCATCGTGACGTATGAGGGATTTCGGCCATTTTTCAAAGAACGAGCACTTGCATATTTGGATTGTCGATGTTCGAAGAATTGGGCGTAACTTTTACACACCGTGTCCGTTTTGGGCCCATAAGTACTTTTCAAAAATGTAGCGACCATTTTGGATTGAACTCACGGCTTCATCGTGAGGTATGAGAGATTTCGACCAATTTTTGAAGAATGAGCCCTTGAATATATTTAGATTGTCCGTGTTCGAAGAATTGAGTGTAACTTTGGCACACGGTGTCCGTTTTGGGCCCAAAGTACTTTTCGAAATTGTAGCGACCGTTTTTAATTGAACTCACAGCTTCATCGTGAAGTATGAAGATTTCGGCCATTTTTAGAAGAACGAGCACTTGCATATTTGGATTGTCGACGTTCGAAGAATTGAGCGTAACTTTTGCACACGGTGTCCGTTTTGGGCCGATAAGTACTTTTCGGAAATATAGTGACCGTTTTGGATTGAACTCACGACTCCGTCATGAGGTATGAGGGATTTCGCCCTTCTTTCGAAGTACGAGTACTTGCATATTTGGATTGTCGGCGTTTGAAGAATTGAGAGTAACTTTTGCATACGGTGTCCGTTTTGGGCCCAAAAGTACTTTTCGAAAATTTAGCGATCGTTTTTGATTGAACTCACGGTGTTGTCGTGACGTATGAGGGATTTCAGCTATTTTCGAAGAACGAGCACTTGAATATTTTTGGATTGTCAGCGTTCGAAGAATTGAGCGTAACTTTTGCACATGGTGTCTGGTTTGGGCCCATAAGTACTTTTTGAAAATATAGCGAATATTTTGGATTGAACTCACATCTTTGTCGTAATATATGAGGGATTTCGGCTGTTTTTCGAAGAACGAGCACTTGAATATATTTGGATTGTCAGCGTTCGAAGAATTGAGCGTAACTTTTGTACACGGTGTCCGGTTTGGGCCTATAAGTACTTTTCGAAAATGTAGCGGTCGTTTGGGATTGAGCTCACGGCTTCGTCGCGACGTATGAGGAATTTCGGCCATTTTTCGAACAACGAGCACTTGCATATTTGGATTGTCGACGTTCGAAGAATTGAATGTAACTTTTGCACACGATGTCCGTTTTGGACCAATAAGTACTTTTCGAAAATGTAGCGACCGTTTTGGATTGAGCTCATGGCTTCGTCGTGACGTATGAGGGATTTTGGCCATTTTTTTAAGAACGAGCACTTACATATTTGGATTGTCGACGTTCGAAGAATTGAGCGTAACTTTTGCACACGGTGTCCGTTTTGGGCCCATAAGTACTTTTCGGAAATGTAGCGACCGTTTTGGATTGAACTCACGGCTTTGTTGTGACGTATGAGGGATTTTGGCTATTTTACGAAGAAAGAGCACTTAAATATATTTGGATTGTCAGCGTTCGAAGAATTGAGCTTAACTTTTGCACACGGTGTCCGTTTTGGGCCCATAAGTGCTTTTTGAAAATGTAGCGATCGTTTTGGATTGAACTCACGGCTTCGTCGTGATGTATCAGGGATTTTGGCCAGTTTTTGAAGAACGAGCACATACATATTTGGATTGTCAGCGTTCGAAGTATTTAGTGTAACTTTTGCACACGGTGTCCGATTTGGGCCCATAAGTACTTGTAGAAAATGTAGCGACCGTTACGGATTGAACTCATGGCTTCATCGTGACGTATGAGGAATTTTGGCTATTTTTCGAAGAATGAACACTTGAATATATTTGGATTGTCAGCGTTCGAAGAATTGAGCATAACTTTTGCACACGGTGTCCGTTTTGGGCCCATAAGTACTTTTCAGAAATCTAGCGACTATTTTGGATTGAACTCACGGCTTCGTTGTGACGTATGAGAGATTTCGGCAATTTTTCGAAGAACGAGCACATGCATATTTGGATTGACGGTGTTCGAAGAATTGAGCGTAACTTTTGCACACGGTGTTCTTTTTGGGCCCATAAGTACTTTTCGGAAATGTAGTGAAAGGATAAGTACATTACGCAGACGCTGACACATCTATACTATTACGTAACAATTTCTTTTCTTATTTTTTTAGAGTCAGCCGTAGGATTGCTCATAAGATGATCCCAGACGCTTATAAGTGGTTTCACGACATCACCACTTCGGGGGCTTAGCTCACCGACGATGTAAGTGAAGTAGTAATATTGTTATTTATTAGGTATACATATTATTGAATTTTGAATTTATAAAATTAAATAACTCATTTTTTAATTGGTGTTTCATGATGCAGTACATTGACTTCACCATGGATTTGCTACGAGATTGAGCTGAAAGACATCTAAGATCGTTCAACATCCTTGGTCGACTCATATTGAACACTGAGTTCATACGTGCCGTTGACATTGAATACCAGACGCTCCAAACTATGGGTAGTGAGTACACGATGCCTATATACATGATGGAGTGGGTCATAGGGATGTGGTCGAGTGTCGGGGAGAAGCCATGGGAGGGTTGTATGCATCTGTACATCCCAGTGTGTGTGAATCATCACTAAATTGCAGTGGAGATTGTATTCGTCGATTCGACTATGTATGTGTATGACCTCGATCATTCATGCTTGACACAAGATCAGTTCGAGCAAAATCTGGAGTCGGTGTCTGTGATCATCCCATACTGCCAGACGAGTGAACATCACTGTGCAGGACAGACTGGCCACCGTGCCGAACACGACGACGACGAGACAGTAAATATCGTAAGTGTTTGTTATTTTATTTTTTTAATTTACAACTTACGTTCTAGTTAGACAGTAATGTGCTAATACAATATTTTGTAATTGTGGGGGTGATTGCGGCATGTACGCCATCAAGTACATAAAATTTTTAAGTGTAACACAGAAGGTTGATGCAATCAACCAGGCGTGGATATAAAATGGGAGAAATAAATTAGCTTGTGATTTATTTAAATTTAATGGTGATTCGTAGATATTGGAGCCGTATTTTTTTAAATAATTGTACATATTGTAACGTTTAAATATTGTATACTTCATTCATTCATTTGTAATTACAAAATAATTGTAAAATGTATATTATTTTTCTAATATTTAATTTTTATTTTGTAGTTTATGTGTTTATTTAGATGTTTCATAACATATTTATAATGTTTGGGTATATTGTGGAGAATGCACTGTTTAAAAAAAAAAAACTTCAAATACTACGAAACTAATTAATGAAATATTGAAATAAAAAAATTAAATCTAATAATTAACAATAAGAATATGCGTAAATAATTAATATCAATGTTAAAAATAATGTTACATAAATTTCAATTATATATCTATTATGTTGTCATGCAGAGGGATCTGACTTGTACAAAATCTTCTGGTATGTCCTGTTGTACCGCACCTGCCGCACTTACGAGGCATGAAAAATTCTCCAGTCGATGGTATTCTAGACGTACGTGTACGTCCATGAGTACGTAAGCCGAATGCTAATGGCAACAAGTTATTCAATGAGAGAATGTGATCGGGAACTTCCCACTCGACTTCATTCGGTACAAGAAATATAGTTTCGGCATATGCTGCTCTCCAAGAACCAGTCGTGTAATAAGCACTGCATAAGGTGTGTGATGGAATTCCTCTATACATAGCCATCGCCACTGCATGTGTACACGAAAAACTCTCCAACTGAAACTGTCTACACGTGCACGTGTTATCATTCAAGTCGACGATGTATCCAAAATTACGCGAACATCTCACGGAGAAGCAAAATTGATCCAGTGGTTCTACATATACCTTCCTTGCCACCTCTAGAGTCTTGAAAAGTTTATCTTTCTCAACCGGGGTTAGCACACTTGTGCAACTCTGTGATTCCTCACGACGATCATAAAACCACTGTTGTAGCTTGTCACGAATGTTCTCAAACATTGCGAGAATTGGTAACTCTCGATCCTTCCTGAATAAGGCATTGAGCAACTCCGCATTGTTCGACGTCATTATATTGTATCGACGTCCTGAAAAATGTGATCGTGCCCAATATTCGATCCCCATCTTTGTCAGATACTCCCATGCATTACTTTCTATTTCGACCATAAACTTTTCAAACTCTTGAAAACTATAAGCCTTCGCAGCTCTCCTAAATAGCGTAACGATGCCCTTGCCTCGATACTTGGTCTTCAGATTTCCTTGTATATGGTATATACAATAACCATGATATGCCTCGAGGAAGACTTTGGCGATACCATTAATTATTGACTGCCCTCGATCGGTTACGAATGCAAGGTTCTTGACATCCCCAATTACTTCTCTCAACTTCGTGAAAAACCAACGCATCGTCAGGTCATTTTCTTTGTCGACTATACCGAATGCAAGAGGGTAAATTTGGATGTTAGCATCTTGACATGTCGCAATAATCAACTAACCCCCGTATTTCGTCTTAAGGGTTTTACCGTCGACTAGGATTAGGGGTCGCATTGCTTTTCAAAATTCTCGAACGCATTGTCCAAGAGCCATAAAGAAATACTTGAAGTGATTCTCGTCATCCTTCTCAATAAAAAATGCGATCAAGTATTAATTCTTCCCATGTTATAGCAAAATCTGACCAATTTAAATAAACAATAATCATAATTTAAATAATTAAATAAACAGTATTAAATAAACTGAAAAATTAACAATTGAATTAAATAATTAATTAGACATTAGATAAAGAATCGATAAATAATTAAATAAACAATTAAAATTAATGATTGAATTAAATAATTAGTTAGACATTAAATAAACAACTGATTAAATAATTAATTAAACAATTGAAATGAATAATTAATATTTGAAATAAATATTAAATAAACATCTAAACAAAGAAATACGTGGTCAATTTAGCATAACTCGCCTCGATCGAACTCATCAAGTCCTCCAACGCGCATTCTTTGGCTTTCCAAGTCTTCTGATAGCTCATGACCACCCCGTACCCTCGACGAACGTCGTTAATGATGTCCAAAGGTCTGTAGATTGTTCGTGGATCTTGAAACTTGTGCATTACTTCTCGACCAATGAACCATGATCGGGCTTACCTGTGATCATTTCGACAAATATCCACTTCGCAAGTATGTTCTCGTGCATACTTAGGAACTACAAAGAACTCATTCGTGTCCATTTTCGTTGGTCGCAAATGCCAAAAGCAACTGTCGTTAACGTAGACAATTGTGTAAGTCGACTTGTTTGATTTCTTCACTTTAAACTCAAAATTGTGTTTCAAAGCAGTCGAGTGAACAGCTTTCTACAAATCTTTCTTCATGTCAAACAGTTGCTCGACATACAAATCTTCGTCATCGGGGACTACACGCGAACAATTTGAGGACCGTGCACTTGGTCTAGCCTGTGAGCTCCCATTCGACTCGATAAAGCCATCAAATTCTCATTTGTAAAGTCATTATCTCTTTCGTTGTCTTGAACTACTGAGCAAATTCTGCGTGTAATAGTGAGATCATGGTGAAGAGCAACTGTCTCTGGAATAGCCACAATATCATCACGAACTATCTCCACTGTGTCCCAAACCTCATTCACATTATGATCCCCTCCATCGAAATTTTCGTGTTCACTCTCGGGGACATTCTTCTTCATCAAATTTACGCGAATAGGAATCGCACGTTTCTGGTTCATTTCAATTAAAACTTTCATTTCAACTTCAGAAGTAACCATTATAGGTGGAATTCAAATGGATGTATGCTCGCCCATTAGAAATCTCAATTCCATATCGTACTCAGAGGGATTGACATTCAGCAAGTTTTGTATCTCATTGTACATTTCTGCATATGATGTACTTGATGTTATCACAATTGCAATACAACCATGTCTTTCATTCGTCCATTTCCGCACCCATCGATTATTTCCACTCTTTTTAAATTTACCAAAGTAACAAATCAGGATAATAGCTGATCCCATATCTGCATTAAGAAACGTCATTTATTAAAAAAAATTGTAATTACGAGAATAAAAAGACGAAAAAAATGCTAGATAAGACACACACATATAAAAAAATTGGTCGGACTGTCCGGGCTGGATGTTAATACCCGGCCCGAACTTTCTGTCCGACTTCTTCATTTTGCTGATTTTTACTGAACAGATGAATTTTTTTCCTCATTTTTGTTAAAAAAAAATTATACAGCCGTTTACAGTCTGAGCCGGATGTTAATAGTCGGCCCGGACTTTCTGTCCAACTTCTTCATTTTGCTGATTTTTATTGAACAGATGAATTTTTTTCTTGTTTTTCCTAAAAAAAATTATACATCCGTTTAAAACTGTAATAGTTTATTTTTCTAAAATTATAATCTGAAATAAGATTTAAAAATTCAAACAATGTACTAATTTAACTAAAATGAAAGTAAAAATACGTATTTATACTTACCAATTTTGAGGACCGGCTGTGAGTAATATTTTTTTGTTAAGCCTTTGATCATTTTGTGATATTTCAGTGTTATGGAAGATGAAATTTCTTTTTAACTGGTTGGAGAATCTGATAAACAAAGTGATTTCACTTTGAAATTTAAGTGAGAGTGCTTGGATTTATTAATTTTTTGAACGAGGATATTATTATCTTTTGAACAAATGATATGTTTTTGTAATTACAAAACATAATAAGGACAAAAATGACATTTACTTTTCAAAATGCCCTTCTGGTGAATGGCAAAAAATTTTTGGTCAATGTCATAAAGTGGTTTTTTGACTAGGTGTTTTTGAAAAGTACCTCGGAGTGAGATGGGCAAGGGGAGAAAATTTTAGGTTTTGTAGTGAGGTGGGTGGGTAAATTCAATTAATACCTGGTTTTTGGTTAAAAATAGTTCACGCTTGTATTTTGAGTTAGAATATTTAAATATCCGTTTTTATGTAATTTCCTCAAACTTTCAAATCTAGATAGCGGAAATTATATCCAACCAGATTTTTTAAATTTCAACTTTAAAATTCAGATTTAAAGTTTTTTTTATACAAAAACTAGATGATAATATAATTTTTAAATATTAATAATATTATTATAAAATTAAATAAATTTACAAACCCCCACCCAATTTCAAATCCTAAAACCACCTCCACTCCACAAACCCCAATATATTTTCACAAATCTCTCTCCATTCTTTCACTTCCTCACGCATGTTTACCCATCCATTCTTGGGGTCTTCAGGGCGTGTAGCGCCCTTGCGCTAGACGATAGCATAGCAAGCGCCTCGTTTCGCTACAGTTCGTGCACATTGGCGCTTGAGCATGGCTACGTACGAAGTATTGGTGCTACTACTCACAAACTGCAACGAAGAATTGGGCATCGCTCAGTGCACCCTGTTGTAAGCAATCCACCGTCGGAAGTAAAATGGCTGGTGGTTGTGGGTTGTTGGGGTTGTGTTCATATCTATGTTGCTAGTGGTGGGGTTGTGTTGGTGATGATGGCGCTATTAGGCTGTGTTGGTGGTGATGGTGCGTGACCAACTATTTGGTTAATTTGTAGTCAACTATTTGATTATTTATGACTAACTATTTAATTGTGATCTAAAAAATCGATAAGTTGTGAAGTAAAAATATTTTGGGACTAACTAATTTGAAAATCTGTGATTGACATGAATTGTAACCTATAAATTTTTAAAATTGTGATCGATTAAAATTTTTCATTCTGACCAAGAAATAACATGTGACCAAATACTATGATAATATGTGAACATTAAATAAGTTGTGACCTGTAAGTACACATCTGTAACCATTAATTGTATAATTATGACTTTAATATATTTAGTTAATAAAATATAATTAATGAATTAGTTAATAATTGAACTTTGAATTCTGAAACCTAAAAAATTGAGTTGCTCCATACTTAGCCCTGTTTGGCCCCCACTTTGTGGTAATGGAAATGAATGGAATAGTGTTTTTTGAAAAATAAGTGGTTCAAAAAGAAGGAAAAGTTTTCAATTTACGTGTAATATTATTTTATGGAAGATTGTATGGTTGAAAATAAGAGCAAAAATAAAATGAAATGAAATGAAAATTAATGGGGGCTAATGCTTTATTTGTAAATTTTTCCACTGATTAATGCTCCATTTAATCAATTAAACAATGTAACAACATAATTAATACGTTATAAAAACCTCCCCAACCCCTGAACACTCTCACACACAAAATCCTCAAAAGAAAACGCGGTTCAATTTTCGAAGAAAAACCCTCCTCAATATATAGAAATTGTCATTGATTCCAAAAGAGGAACTTTGGAGTTTTTTCTTCATCGTTCCCGATTAAATATCATTGTTGAAATTTTCAACAAGAATCACTTCGATCAATTAATTGATGCTATACCATCATCATGCACACCAAATGACGCTGCTCAAACATGCAATAAGTTTGTGAGCTCAGATAAAGTAATTGGGGATCAAAGTGGAGTGAAGCCTGAAATTTTATTGAATATGTGCAATCTTCCATGCTTATGTAGTTTGTACCATCCTTACAGAATAAAGTAATTTTCACGACAAACTTCATTCGACTTTTTTTTAGTTGTGAAATGCTGCATCAAAATTCGTTTTCAATTTTATCTTCATGTTGTTCTTTAGACGCAATTTCTTCAGTCCCAAGTATTTTAATTTGAAGTTATAATTAATCTTTGGGTCATTGGCGGACCTATATATGGTCCTGGTGGGTCAAGTGACCCACCAACTTTCAAGATTTTTTTTCTTTTCTTTTTGTTTTAGAGCCAAAAATCAGATTTGGACAGCAATGGTAGTTGGGCTTTTTTATTAGAATAGAATTACAGTGATGATCGAACAATTGAGAGAGTGAGAGTTGAGATTATTTAGTCATCTGCAATATTTAATTTAAAAATCTATGAAAATTATTATTTATCATACATGTGAGATTGTTTGGAATTCTTTGAGAATTGTTATTTTACATATATATGAGAT